TGTCCTCCCTTGAGACCGAAAAGGCTCAGCTACAGGGATGGCTACCAACCAACCGCTAGCCTCGTCAGATGCTTTAGAGTGCAATTCCTCTCCGCTTCCCACCGTTATAAAGAGATCAGCCTAAACATCCGTGCAGGTCATGTCACCTTGGAATCCGTTGTGCCCCGACGAAAGACTAAAAAAATGGATAAACCGTGAGACATTAACTGTGCCAATTCGAGAAGTATGGAAGAAGACATATGGAAGAAGATATTGAAATGACTGAAAAACTAAGCAAATGACGAAAAAGCAAATTAATGCAACACGTAGCTAGGTATATTTTTATTTGTTTTCCTTCTCATTTCACAAGTGAAATTAAACGAAAAGATTGAAAGAGGAAATTTATGTGTAAATATTGACTTCAGTGTTGGAGCAATTTATGCAAGTATTTACATAACCGAAATCAAATGAAAATTTATCGATATCACAAATTGCACGGGTTTAGATGTTTGGGTTACTTCCGCTTCCACCGGTATTGAGTTCGTAACCGTAATGGCACTGTAAAACGCTAAATTTTGGTTAATTAATGTACTTAAAGTTAAATAAATTAAGTTAAAATTAATAAATTAAATAGTATGACTCAATATATATTGATTAAATTAAATTAAAACGACTCAATGGAGAATAAAAATTATGTTAAGCTACTAAAATTATTAATATAGGACAATTGCAAATTCAATTAAATTAAATTTAAATTTAATAAAATTAGAATAGATATAGTTAAAATGATTGGAATTTGACTAAATTGAGATTAAAACCCATGGGATCAATAGAGATGGAATATTCAGATAATTAAAAGTTTAAAATGATTAAAATTAAATAGCAAAATTCAAATAATAATTGTTCAATATCTCAAAAGAGGGTTAAATAATTTAGGTTTAAAATAGGTTAAAATTAGTTGGAATAATTAAAATTGTTTGAATTGGAATTAAATTGAATTGAGTTAAAATTATAGTAAAATTGTAGTTAAAAATTGAAATTGAATAAAATATTTAAAAAGTTTGTATAAGTTTTATAAACAAGACAACACAACAAAACTTTATACTAATGACTAGATTTTGCAGCCCTTTGTATAGTTTATGATTGTGTAGTGTTCCTGTGTGTATTATGTATTTTGGTACCTGCTTCAGCTTGGGGAAACCTTTGCCAATATTTCTATTTTGTTTAATCCTAACCTATGTCAATTGTTTAAAATATTTGTAAAATTTAAAATAACCCAATAAGGGACGTTAAAATAGTTTAAAAACCCAATTGGGGGACGTCACAACAATTAAATATAAATAAAAAGTCAATAAAAATATTTAAAAGCCCAAAAGGGATTGAAGTCACAACAGTCAAATATATTCAGTTAAAATAAACACGTTAAAATTTTAAACACGTTAAAGTTAATCAATACAAATACGAAAAAGTACAAATAGAATGAGTTGTTTATTGAGTTTTGAAATTAATTTACTCTTATACATGAAAGAAAACCGGAAAAGTTATCATGGAGAAATCAAGAAAATACTTTAGTGACATCTAGTTTGATTTTGGGGAACAAATTTTTGTTTTTAAATACTTCCTCATTGACATTTTTTTTTTTATTTGTATTTAGCTTTTTTGTATTTCAAGCGATCATACCTATAGAAAGCACTTTATAAAAATATTTCGTATACAATACAAATTGGTGTATTTATAATAATAATATCGTAATTATGTATTCATACAGCTCATGGGATGGGAATTTTTGTTGACGAAACAACAAGATGATGTTAATTAATTGTAAATAATTATCAGATCATAACCTTTAGTTATTATTCTGAGATAAGAACATTTTCGCTTTTGCATAATACACGCTGTCACGATATATGGATAAGACTCTATAGAACTACTCAATAGAACTTTCAAAAAACTGTTTTAAATAAATAAATGTTGCAATATTAGGTTTAAAATATATGTTCAGTGAAATTAATTATCATAATATGCTACTATTATAATCAGGAAGTATTTAAAAAAACGAAAGCACTAAAAAAGCACCTCCACTAGACTGTAGCAAAAGTTGATTTTTGCAGGAAACGAATGGACCAAAGACAGTCATTTCCATTCCTTTTAACTAACATATTAAAAAACTGAAATTTTAAAAGTTCGAAAGATATGAATACAAATACGAAAAAGTACAAATAGAATATGAGTTTTTTATTGAGTTTCGAAAACTAATTTACTTTTAAACTTAAAAAAAAACGGGAACGGTTGTCATGGAGAAATCAAGAACGTACCGTGGCGATATCTAGTTTAATTTCGGGAACAAATTTTTTTTAAAATACTTTCATTCTTCTTATTTAAATAAATGTCAAATTTGACCCTAGTAACGTGTTAAACAATAAACCATGAATATCATTTTACACTATAATTATTTCAATATTTTCCCTTTTTATCTACCTATATAGTATTTTTTTTATTTACTCACATATTAGGGATGGCCTATAGAATCAAACTAATCGTTTATAAGAATGATTCACGACAATACAATCTGCCATTTTTTTAAATCGATACCATAGAATATAATCTACGTTCAGACCGAATCGTATGCCTGAAAGAATATCAATGAAAAACACAAACAATTATTTAAAATGGCAGGGTACCTAAAAAGTATCAAAGGAATGTAAGATCATACCTACCTCTTGTATCTGTTTGTTATTAGTTTTGAACACGGAGGAGCTTGAGACAATAAGTTTTGGCCACCCATCCTTTGACCGACCGGCCAGCGCGCTAACCAATGCGCCATCGAGCTCCTCTATAACGTTGTATGAAATAATAATAGTTTTTATTTATTCACGTTGTATCCAGTATAAAAATCTATTTATACTAGAGTACGTAAATGAAACCTTTGAGACATTAATAATAAGTACAATAGATTTTCTAAGTCATGCTTATAAAAACTAACGTAATACATTTGTGTAAGATTATGTTATTGTGAGCTGTAAGCTGCGGAACAACCTAAAGTGAGTACCTAGTATCGAGTTTCAACAATAAAAATTGATGTTATACCTTTAGATAGTTTCGATACTATCGTTAGGCGAACGCCATACATATCAAAATTGAGGGAACATTTTAATGAATTTTAGGTCAGCCAGACTTGCATTTAAATGGTCACATTTGTCACAAAGATAGCTGACAGTACTATCTCGTACATGTTTGGCGCAGGCATTGGAACTAACTACAGCATCATGGATACATAGTAGGTAGTATCACTGCCAATAACTCAATAACAACATCTTCTTTTATACATATTATCGATAGTACTATCGACCAAGATCAAAGCATGAGTATAATTGGACGTAGTTACTCAAAAAAGATCCAACCCACAAATTGGTCGAAAATGAGTTAAGTATACCAAAATGTCCATCAGGATCGATACTTTCATATAGGAAAAAAGCTCTGAGCTGTATTACATTTTTTTTCAATGGTAGTTACCATCCCACATCTTTAGTAGGTTCATATTTTAGTTCCATGAAAACGTCTCAAGCTTCTTGGATCCATATAGTGAAATAGCAAATTAGCAAATAAGCAAATTAAAGGCACTAATTTTGGTTAAAAATCACAATAAAGGTTCAAAAAGCTTGAATCATTTTTGTTAAAAGGTAATTTTATTACAAGGTGTAGGATTTTAGATAGTGAAAATACATTTGAATTTAAAAATTAAAACAATAAATTGAAAGAACCTTTAATAAATAGTTATTTCGATGAAATTTTGGCACTTCAGTTAATTATGCTATTATTTTTTCATTTGGATCGTTTTTGAGATTTGTTTTGTAAGAATAAGGTAATGAAAACCTAAATATATTAACCTTTATACATAAGAGGGGAACGAGATAGCTGACAGTCTTACACATATGGAACATGATGAAGATCATAGCAATATTCTGTTAGTGCCATTTACTGATTATTACGGGTTTTTTAAGGAAAACGCAAGAATGCTTTGGAGATCGTACTAGGAACTGACATTACAGACTAAAGGCAAGTAGTATGCTGAAATACAGAGAAACTTACCCATCAAGCCTTGGTATGAAAAATCCAAGTCCTACTTGAATAGAAAATTTATCACAGCCTTATCCCGTATGCGTCTTGGTCATTGCCTTGTACCAACCCATCTTACGAGAATCAACGTCCTAAGCAACGCCCAATGTCTCTACTGTACACAAGATAACGCAGACCTTCAGCACATCATTTTCAGTTGTCCAAATTTCAATATCCAACGGTTAACGTTGACATGTGACGTTAGTGACATCTGTGAACGACTAAAACTAAACAGTGTACCCCGCCGCGTTCAAGAATTATTAAGTAACCCTGAATTTTTTAAGTCGCTGTACATATTCATAGAAAATACCATTGAAAAGATTTAAAACCTTGTAAATACTATTGAAAAGATTTAAAACTTTTAATTAGATTTTAATCAGTTGTTTTTAAATGTTCTAATATCTATTTGTTATAATTTTAAAAAGAAAATAATAATAATAATAAGAATTGTCATCAGATAATGTTATTCCAAACTTTGTAAATAGCTTCTAATTTGTTGGAAATTATTTTCCTTTTCATTATTTTTTGTTCTCTTATTTTGAATATGTAATTCAATTTTTAATATGTATGCAACTGATGGACTTGTATCCAGGTTAAGAAATAAATTAAAAAAAAAAAATTTAACCTTTATATTTAAATAAATATACTGTTACTTCTGTTAAAATGACATTATAATAAGATAATGTAAGTGGTTTTCTATATTAGATAAAAATATAATACACAAAAAATTGTTGAGAAATTAATTCTTTGAAAAACTGTCTTTCCTTATATGGTCATTTTCAAAACTACTAATTATATCGATACTATTCATAAGTGATCAGTATTGCCATTTAACTTATATATCTACGATTGCAATGGTCTGTGGAACGGAAGTAGATAAACGTAGAGAGAGAGGTAGTTAGTATTTCTATTCTGTTTTTGAACCGTAACACGACGAAGCAAGCAATATTTGTGTTTTTTAATTCATAATTTTTTTATTGCGAATCTCATCTGAAACATGAAGAAAGTGATTTTTATTTGTTTACTGTCGATTTCAACATGTCTGAGCCGACCAGATGGAGCACCAAGTGAGTATTCTAGTAACCGTCTGGCATCCATTAGAGTTTTTTCCCTATTGGATTTTCCCCGTCAGCTTATGCGTAGTTTTATTTGAAAGATTTTGCATGTGTAATTTCCTAAATCAAACGACAATATTACATGATTTGTTTTTATAATAATAAGAATATTAATCGAACAGATCAAGAAATTCGTCAAAAATATTTTTTTGTCGACCATTTTTAGGATTCTCTCGAGACCAAACATCTAATGTAGTTAGAGAGAAAATTAACCAAAACAATGCATATAATTGAATCCTTTGTTTCAAGAGCGCTATCAATTAAAGCATCATTAAAGATTAGCATACTTTTTAATGAACAAGCTATGTTTTTTTATTTAGTATTATGCATCCAATATGAAATCCTACTTATTTTACTACTACGTGATATCAAGTAGAACTAAGTACCACTTTTTCCCGCCAAACAATAGGTTATATTCGTGTTTTTGAGTTACTAGGTTGAACTTACAATACCAAAATAAAGGAAATAGTTCATTGTTACTTCAAACTTAAACCAAAGACTATTTTCTCTTCCACAGATGTTGCTCCTCCTGCTGCCCCCAACCCACAGATACAAACACAGAGTTCACCATCATCACCACCACTAGTAGCAACACACAAAGAAAATGCAAAAGTATCTGAAAATACTACAAATGAAACATCACCTGCAGTTACAGTTGGAACAGCACCATCTACTCCCCCTGCAGTACCTACGTCTACTCCCCCTGCAGTGGCTATGGCAAATGCAACTGCCCCAAAAAACTCTACTGATACAAACAAAACCACTGACAAAAATGAGACTGTTTCACCATCTAATGTTGCCACCAAAAATGAAACATCAACTCAACCGTCAACTAAGCCCACTCCGGAAAATAAAAGTGTTCCAAATACAACAGATCATACTATGAAAAATGAAACTACTACCTTAAAACCTACATCTAAACCATCAGAAGTACCGAAATCCACAGACACCCCACCTGTGCAGACACGACGGTATGAATATCTTTGAATCTTTTTCAAGAAAATAAAATTCATTCTGTTTACTAACACTAAAGACATAGTAATATGTCATTCTATACCTAAAATGACTGCATATTGATCTTTACCAGGAAGCGCAAGCCTTCTTTCGTATTAAAATTTTCAGAGTCGATTATCAATTTCATTAGAGGGCAATTTATATTTACATAAAGTAGTATTATTTTTTATTGTTAGATACATATTTTTGAACAAATCTCTTAGCTCTTGTTTTCAGTGCATTTTATTATTAATATTTATACAACATCGCATACATTGCTTAGGTAACAAATTAAGTAGCGGAACCATTTGTATTATGTAACACAACTCTGAAACAACTATGATAATACAACACCCAGACTTAATATAGAAAAGTCCAAATTGCATTGAATCTAATGCATAAGGACAGCAACTGGGAGGCATACTTACAATAAATGTTAACTTTGAACTATTGAAATTCCAGATTTGACGGTCCGAGCTTCATTGGTGGTATCATCCTGACGTTGGGTCTCCTAGCTATTGGATTCATGGGATTCAAATACTACAAAAACCAAACTGAAAGGAACTACCATACTCTTTAAGCATATTTAATATGATACTCCTAATGTTTTTCTTATGTATCTAAGTGCAGTTCTAATTTTGTTTTTTGTATAATTTTAGTTAGAGGCACTTCATTTTTTATTTATGAAAATTCATACAGGGATACTGCATGTTATCTTAGGAAAAATGCCTTGATCTTATTTGGTGGCTGGAAAAGAACATAGTTTTACTTAACAATATATAAGATTCTTTCAGCCTGCTAGTGCAATTTAGCATTTATATTTTTATTTTAAGTGTAAACTTTCATACATATTTCATATGTAATAAACCAATGGCTGCTTAAAGTAATATGATTTAAGAAATCAGGAATATGTGATGTAAATTTTTATGATAAATTGTATGAATATTTGTAGCCAAAAAGATTATCTACAATAACAGATATTTTCAGATTTATATAAGCAAATATATGTGAATTAGTATAAAGTATATCATTATTATATCTTGTTGAACTTGTGCCATTTACTGGACTCCACATTTAATACTGTTTCTTTTAAATTTCTCCCACTATTCTCTGCTATGACTTGCACTGAAATTCAAAGATGTATGTAGTTTTAAAATTATATTTAAGTGTTATTGTGTAAGGAAACGCAATGTGATGATGGAAATAAGGGTCTAATGTAGAACCTGTTTTGATTTGGCATAAACAAATTTATTTCGATCTCTGCAATAGATCTTGGTGATTGTACATGAATCTCAAGAAGTTGTTAATCTCAATTTATGTTAAATTTTTACTTTTATGCCAAGTCAATTCTATATATTTTTGTTTTTATTTTTAATACATTTATCTGTAAACTGGGGAAAGATGATTCCATCCTAAAGTGCTCTTATAACTGAACTATTTATGGATAGATTAAACAAAGAGATTTGCATAAGTTTCCTGTTTATAAAAAATTATAACATTCACATTCATGTCAGTCACTGGTTATGTTTAATAAAGTTAAGTATGAGAAATTGATGTTTTATTTACCAATCTATAGGTTATTATTTATGTTCCTGTAGGAAGCTGGGTAAAATGTACATCTGTTGTAGTCAGAATGATATATGCATCAGGCTGGCAACGCCAACTGAAGTTTTTGAATAAGTTCTCAATCCTGTTAGTCCGTTACGAGTACGTTAAAAGGACGTAAGTTCCGAGATAAAATTAAGGGAAGTCGTTGTGTAAGGAAACGCAATGAGATCATTGAATTAAGCATATAATGTAGAAACTATTGATTTTGGCATATTGTTTGTAATTGCACTTTAATCTCTAGACTCAAAACTTTAACTGTTAATCTCTATTTATGTTAGTTTTCTTTTGTATATTTGTTTTTTTATTTATGTAATTTGGGGCACATTTGTTTAATAATAGGTATTTGTCGTCCACCCTGTGGCGACGTAATCCGTGACATTTATGATATAAACAATAATTTGTAAGGCAATATTAAAATAGTGAAAATATACTCATACTTATGAACACGTTTATTCAAATACGGAAAGGCCCCCGGTCAGAGGAGATTCCTTACTCCTGACATTAATTATTACGCAATTAGTAAAAAAAATTGAATATCCGATAAATTTGCCACGGGCCTCAAACGGTATAGTTAAGCCACTGATACTGCGAGTATTTTATTCACCACTCCAGGATACTATGACGTAAAGTGAATTACGCAAATAGTATTTTAGCGCTCTGACAATTCCAATCAAATGTTCTAGTCTCATATTATTGTAACGCAACACTATTATAAAGTGATCAAATCAAACCTAGAATCGGAATCAAATGTGTAACGCCTGGCCAATTCTATCAGCAGAAAGCAAACTTTCCTGATGGCAAATACATAAATCAAACAAACCACAATCGAATATTCGACAGGCTGGCAGGTCACCTTGGCTTTTAAAATAAACTCTTAATAGAAAAATGTAGTTTTAATCTTGAGCTTGTAAGCAGCTTATTTTGGCATTATTTCTTTATATACAAAACCAGTTGAACATACGCGTACACTTAAATACCGCAACAGTGTGAACGCGCTAATCACTACTCCATCGAGCTTCTCAATGTAAAGAACTTCTACTCTAGACTTTAAAATACAATGTTAATTCATTTTGAATTTGAACTTAGCACTAATCAAAGAAAGGCAATAAAACGAGAATATTTGTTATATTATTATAATTTGGTCACAACTTATTTAATTGGTTTACTGAATAGAAAATAAATGATACAATGTTTTACTAATACAAGGACCAATATTTCGTTTTGTGCTACCATATTTTATATTAGCTAATAACATCTCTCCATTTTTCTTATCGGTACAATCTTCAAACGCTTTTAACAAAGCTACGGGTGTTTTATACACATTTGTGACAGCTAATGCTTTTTCAACAGAAACACCTTTTATTTGCAGAAGCATTTTTATAAAAGTCTCTGATACAGATAAGGGTTTACTCTTTGATGACGTTTTGTTGAAATAATCAAAAGTCATTAGTTGCTCATCTGTTGGTTCACTGTTACAGCCCCGTAAATCTTGATTCTGAAAAATTATTCAAATTCAACTTCATTATGCTTTGTACAATTTCATTGCAAAAAATTGCTTTCATTCCAATCTGTGCTAGAATAAATTGAGAAAGAAATTGAGCAAAATATTTACCTTATATTCTAAAATAAGTCTTTTAGTCATCATAGCTAAAAATCTAGCAGAATGACTTAAGTTATCAGTCATGTGAACTTTGAAGCCGTCCTGTATTCTTGTGTTGGCTAAAGATTGCATCAAAGACTGGATCGGCAATCCACAATGACTATTACTACCATAATTTTCTACCATATAAATAACATTCTTCAAACCACATTTCCTTAATCTAAACTTCTGTTCATGAAATCTTCCATCTTTAATGCTATGACCTAAATCATCCATTCTTTTTCTTTCAACTATGAAAGGCAACACTAGCTCTTGTTCTTTATTAACTTTATGTCTTGCAATCCAAGTAAAATCTCCAACTTTCAGGCTTCTATACTCATGTGCCATGTCTGGATATTTATTAAACTGTGCTACTGTGGGATCATTTTTCTTTGAAGTGCTGTCAACAAATTTAAAGTATGTTAATTTAACAACAGACCATTATCATTCCGATTGAAATCCCATAATAGCGGCTTTAGTTTGAGTTTTTATGTTTATAATTACCTTTGACTAGATATTAACATTTTAGTATTGAAACCAGCACAGTTACCTCTAGAGGTAACTATCAAGTACTATGTTTTTTAATATGATCACTAGCAACCATGTTAAGATAAAAACCTTAAAAACTATATAGGAATTAACTAAATATTCACAGCTTTATGCACCTTATGCATAAATTATTAAAAGTACAAACAAGACTTGTTTAATATAACAAATATATACCCACCCACTAGTTTCATTCTTGTCTATGAGTAGTACAATATCAAATGATCCAGCAGGCATTTGGATGACAGCAGTGGGAATATCGCTGTTAGAGAAAGTTCCACTTGTTTGTGAACCACTTGACTGTTTATCAAGCTCGGTTGTGTTTGACAAACTAGGAGTAAAAGAGTCACTGTGAAATATGATTTCATTCATTGTTGGTATATTGGCAGATTCTTGCAAAAGCTTGGTTGCTATTGACACTCCTAGCTCTGTTAATGCATACTCTGTCTTTTTCTTCTTGCTTTTTATAACAAGACCCTTCGTTATTAATCTACTCATATTTGACCAAGCTGTATAAAAAGACTCTGGTTTAGGTCTTATAAAGGACTCTTCGCAATGTTTCTGTGCTTTTTTTATTAGTTCATCTTTGGAAAGTGCCACTTTACAAGGGTTTTCCTGCATGTTCTCTAGTAAAGCCACTAGAATAGCATAACCGCCTGATCTATGTGCAGGTTTATATGTTTTGCTTTTAGTTTGTTTTAATGATGTTACAGATTGTTGTGAGTTTGTGTTTGATTTTGATGGTGAACAAACAGAATGAACATTTTTACTTCCATCAGTTTGATCTATACTATTGCCAGAGTTTCTGTCTTTAGCTGAAGAACTGCTTTTTAGATCAGTATGTGTATTTTCATTCGAGCTTGTTTGTGCACCTGAAAGTTCAGTTGCGTATGATTCAGAAATTGGTGCTTGTTCCATATTATTATTCCCATTTTGATGTTCTAAACATTTATCCAGAAACACACATAATTTCTTATTGAACCCTTTGAGAATAAAGCACTCTGCTCCGGACTTGAGTGGTAAAGGGTATTTAGATAACGAATCTAAAGCTTCCTTTAACATTGGTTCTAATCTACTTTTCGTATTCTTGGCATCTTCATAAAGTCTTTCCAAACTTTCTTGAAAAAAGGGATTTGGTCGCTTCCGTTTCCAACAAATTCTTTTATTGTTTTCTATACAATTATCCATTATTTAAAAAAAAAAGTTAAAAAGACAATCTTTAGCTAAAAACGCATTTAAAAAATACAAAATCGCAATTATCACAAAATAAAATAAATTCAAAATAGGGATGATCGATATTCATCGATGTTTTGTCATCGATGTTTTAAGTTCGATAACATCGGCACATCGATGTTTTCTAGCCAAACATCGATGTTTATGAATAAAATATCAATATATCCTTAGGGTCAACTTACGTGCTCTAGATGTAATAGCTAGATGATTTCATATATCAACTTCAACTGTTTCAACTAAATATCATCGGTTGCACTCCTAACTGAAGTAGTCAAACAAATAGTTTTTTCTTTGCTTGCATTTTCCAAAGAAGTTAAAAATAAATCTGTCGACTTCAGCACTCTTTGGTACCCTATTAAAATTTTATTAAACAATTCATAATTCATAAGGGCCATAATCAGACCCGCGCTATAAAGATTGTTTTTATAATCAACGATGTTGTAAAGAAAAAAATCAATGTCTTAATATCGATGTTAACAAAATCAATCATCAATGTTAACTCACGGCCTCACGCAAGACCAATGCATTATTTAATATTTGATAATATTAATATCAATTTAAATTAATCGATATTAACAAAAACATCGAAATTTTGATTAAAAAAAACTGAATTTTTGTGTATGTAATACACACATATCTTAAAATACATATTTTTACATACATGTTTAGAAAAGTTGGCTCTACTCTTTATCAATAAAGAAATAGATTAAATGGTTCTTCCTTATCAAAATTAGTTTTTCTTCAAACAGTTGATATAAATATTGGAATATGTAATGTTTTTTTCTGTTTCTTAATAAATTCCGAAAGATACACTGTATTTTATATCTTTGTAAATTATTGCAAAAAATCAACGATGTTTTCCTACATCGATATTCAGTTTTCGATAAATATCGGACATCGATATTGGGCTTACGATGATTTTTTCTTATATCGATCATCCCTAATCCAAAAGTCAACCCATTCAAGACTTTTCAAGACCTAATAATTTAGGGATGTGAAAAAATAATCAAATCTTTATTTCGATTTTTTACTTGTAGTGTTTTGCATAAAAAATGTCAACTAAGAAGCGGTTAGAGTGTTTTCTATATAATAATAAAACAATGGTACAACTGCGAAGAGTAAATATTGCCCCAAATAACTTAAAAAGTATGCAGCAATAACAAAAATTAAAGCAGCATATTGAAAGGAATCATTTTAACGAAATAAATTGTTTCTGTTTATCGAATAAGTTTTTGTTTTGCTGAACAAATAAAGATAATTGTGGTAGCTTTGAGTTTAGAGTTGTTTTATTATATAAAAAAAAATATTAAAAACATAAATATTTATCAACTATTTATGTTTTTACTATTACTGCCGTATAGGCCCGGAACGGCAACTTGAAACGCCTACCGCGATCGGTGAGCTTAAGAATGACCTAAATAACATAAAGTTATTTGACACTTTTACGTCGTGCCGGAAATTCCTTATCGTTGTATATCGCACAATAAGCGTATTATTCAAACCAAATGTAAACATCTAGCGACGCGACTTGAAATAATGTGATGTGTAATTACAGCAATTAAAATAATAAAATATCGCATTTTCTTCGATTTCGACATATATCGATATCAATCAATATCAAGGTCAATGTATTGATTTACATCGGTTTTCTGATATATCATTTCATCCCATTTTGAGTGAACGTCAGTTTTTCCATTTTTTCTTTGCAGACTGCACAAACTTCATAAGGACTAGAGGTGGTTAAATTAGCGCTTAGCGTGTTAATATGACACGGTAATCGTACATAGCATTTAACACTGTTAAGTATGTTTAAAATAAAATTTGCGTGTTAGCGCCCGAAGCCGAGCATTCGCATAGGCGTGAACCCTAATAGATGCGTGGACGATTTATTCTAGTAGCATGTTAAATATGACCGTATATTATTAACATAGTATAGCTGATATTTTAAATTGTTAAGTTTAAATTGTGAATAGAGTAGCTCGGTGGCGTAGTGGATAAGCGCCGCGGCCCGCGATCGTAATCGTTAAGCAACTTTCGAAAGGGTCGGTCACGGGATGGATGACCAAAAATTATTCTCTCGAGCTACTCCGTGCTTCGGAAGGCACGTTAAGCCGTTGGTCCCGGTTGCATTAGCAGTCGTTAATACCCTCCAATCCGCATTGGGCCAGCGTGGAGGGTCATGGCCCATCCTCCTTAACCATCCATAAGGAAGGCCTGAGCCCCTGCAGTGGGGACGTAAAAGGGCTGGTGATGGTGATGAAATTGTGTCAGATAAAAAAAATAAAGTTTTAATTGTAAAAAATATAAATTTTAATATATTTTTTTGACATGATTAGTTATGATAAAAACGTGTTTATAATAAAATTGATGTTGTGGCTTCAATTGATCGTCCGATATAGTTATATTTTTATTTCAAGACAGTAAAACTTTTGTTTCTATTTTATTTGTTATTCGTTATTTTTAATGTCTTTGTAAATATTCTCTATGATTGCTTGTCAATAACATTTTTTTTAATAATCATCTAAATACAACTTGGAGCCATTTATGTAGCGAAAAGATATGATAATGTTAATAAATAATAAAATATAAGGACCAATTTTAGTGAAGAGATGTAAAATTGAGTACGTGTAGATAACTAATGAAAACTGAGTTCAAATTAATATTAGTTATTTATCCACAGTAGCTAAATAATAGAACATGTAATATATGATTGATTTATTTAAGAACATACGGTACGTATTACAAGCATGAGATTCGCAATAGGAAGGAGCAAGGAAGGTAGCTACTTCCCATATATAGATTATGGATGCGTTCAGAAATGGGTAATAAATAATGAATGAAGCTGCGTTCACATTTCTTCAATAACAAATGTACCATAGTTCATTTACTATTATTTCACATGTATAAGAATAAAATATTAATAAATTATTGTTTACTATATAGCACGCGCTCAGTTCAAAGATCGACAAGTAATAAATAACGTGCTACGAGATTTAGTATACTGCTTGATTTAATGCGTTTGTCACGTACCCTTTTTATTATATACTTAGCGCGTTAATAAATGAACGCATTAATTAACACGCTATTTTTTCTTAACATTTTGTCCAAGCGTGTTAATGTATTTTAGTCTTTTTGAACAATTCTAATGCAGAATGGACAATTATGATATGGGTAGAGATGGACGTTTAAACGAGAAGCACTTAATTAAGCATGCTTTTAAAATTAAGTGTAAAAGCGGTTTTTTACTAAGAAGAAAAGTATTCTAATGCTTATGATATGTCCCGCCCTCTATCAAGTTATGATGTCACTATTAGCTTCAATAAATTTTCCTATGACGGCATTTTTCTATTGGAGGGCAGCACTTTACATAAATGCACTGTATTATACTATTACGCGTAATATCCATCTAGACTTTTTTGGAACAACTTTTTTGGTTAGTTAATCCAGACGCTTTTTTAAACGGAACTTAAAAAAACCAGTACGCTTTTCGTTGTCGGAGTAGGCGCGCGTTGTGTTGAAAGTTATTTCATTGCATAAATTTAAAGTTAAACTTTATTATATTGATTCCGGTCAGACCTAAGCCTGTGATTAAGAACGAAGGAAAATTCATGGATTAAAATAAAGTACAAAAAAGAATAGATGTTATCAATATTTTGTTTACTTACAACAATTTCGTTTTATTTGGATTTGTAGCTCGTTAGCTTTGAAAAATTATTTATTATTAAAATTTTATTTATTTTAGTCAAAGCAAGTTCATAAATAACTACAACACAACGTTACTACAACGCTTGTTATAACGATTTCCAAACATCAGTTGAAGAAAAGCGTTTAAACAATAAGACGTTTGCAAAAACGCTTATTAAAAATCGTTCAACGTAACAACGCTTAAAAATTTTAAGCAGTTATTTCCACCTCTAGTTTTTTTTTTTTTTTTTTTTTTTTTTTCCTTTTGGCGTCACACGGTTTGTGTATTTGCCAGTGTCAAAGGTAGGGAAACGATGGTAGGAAAAAGGATAGGATTTGCGACAGGTTTTTAGCAATAGGATCAGGAAACGAAAATATTAATATATATAGAATATATACGTTATATAACATACATAAAAAGTAATAACGATATTTAGACTTTAATATTATTTGACATTATAAAAGACGCTATGCATTGATATACTGATATGTTATTAGACGAGAGCAAAGAAACTATGGATGTGGGAAAGGAAACACGTAAGGAAATGAGATCTTTAAGGAATTCGGATCGATCGTACAGTGTACAAGAAAACAATATGTGGTTAAGATCACAGTAGTCTGACCCACACCTACAGGACAGGCAGTACAGGCATACTACAGGCATCACTAACAATTCCCAGCTTGGTAAGATGTGCTGGTGTACTAACATGACCAATTCTCGAGCGTATTAAAATACTAGTAGCAGTCTTAATGATCTTAATTTTACGGAACCACGGTTTCATCATAATTTTAGGTTGTATTTGATAATAATGTTTTCCCTTTACTTGTCCACTATTTGTCCAGTAAGTTTGCCACTCCTTATGCAAATGACACAACGGCAGCAACAACAAGTCATGGGTATAATTTTTAAAAGGAAACATGTCTCCACAATGTACTGCCTCTTTTGCTAATTGATCAGACTTCTCATTACCTTGAATTCCCACGTGACTTGGAAGCCACACAAATTCTACCAGATACCCTTTTTTAACACATTTATAAAGATTATTTCTTATATCAAACACAAGTGGGTTATATAATCTTGTACGGAATGGAAAATTATCAATAGCTTGTAAAGCACTCCTTGAATCAGAAAATATTATTGATTTATTTAGTTTCATGAGAACGACATACTCGACAGCTTTTAGTAAGCCAAGGCATTCCCCCGTAAATACAGATGTCTCCGGAGGAAGTTTACTTTTCTGCACAATGGAAAACTGAGAGTGGTAGACTCCTATGCCCGTACATTCAGAAGAGGAAGACTTAGAAGCATCACTGTATATATGATGGTAATTTTCGTATTCGGAATCTATAATTGATTTAAAGGTTTTAGCGTTATGTTTATCTATCAGATCGTACCTTACAGATGGTGAAATTAGCAAGGCGTCATAATCTATATTAAACACTGGAAGACGATTTGACCGATGTATAGGTGAATGGAGGCTCAAGTATTTTTGATAGCTTACTATTAAACAGGGCAGTTGTTTATGAGACCAATAGCTAGCTGTAGTTATTTCATTGTTCAGAGAGTTAAGTAGGTGGAAAAGAGGATGGTCGGAGAATTGAAGAGATCGGAACAAAAATCGATCTGAAAGAAATTGTCGTCTAATACTGAGTGGGGGTTCACAAGTTTCGATTTGTAAAGCATTGATTGGGCTTGAGCTCATAGCACCAGTTATAATTCTAAGTGCTTTTGATTGAATACCGTCTAATTTTTTTAACGAAATTAAGCTGGCAGGTTCTAAAAGGAAAGTACCATAATCCAATACACTTCGAATTAGCGCGTTATAAACCAATTTGAGCGATTGAGGGTGAGCCCCCCACCAGACACCGGAGAGACATCGAAGAAGATTCAATAGTCGTTCAGTTTTCTTGATAATGTAATCTATATGGGAGCGACCGGAGAGCTTGGAATCTAATATCACACCTAAAAACTTAGCTTGTGATTCAACTGGTATAGGCAAGTTATTATAATGAACTCTAATTAAAGGGGGATTCCTCATTCTTGAAAAAACTACGATTGTACTTTTGGATGCAGATAAATCTAAGCCATTGGTAAGCATCCAGGAGTGTAATGAAATCAAGGCCAACTCAATATGTGACGTAGCTATCTCAACTGATCGGTTTGTTGAATATAATAACAAATCATCCGCATATTGTAAAAGCTTTATATGATTATCGAAGCAAGAATCCAAATCATGTGTATAGATATTGTATAGCAAAGGGCTAAGGACTGACCCTTGGGGTAACCCTTTCCATACAGTCCTTTTTATTTCTGAATAACAAGATAAACTAACAATCAAATTACGTTCTTCTAATATGTTCATAATAAAATTAGTTAACATTGACGGGATGTTTAGCGATTCTAATTTATTTTTTAATACTGACACTAACACATTATCATAAGCAGAATTGATGTCCAAAAAAGCAGCCACTATAGATTCGTTGTTTGTAAAACCTATACGTATGTCAGTTGTGAAAATACTTATATTATCCATTGTACTTTTCCCTTTTCTAAATCCATATTGCGTTCTCGATAGTATACCTTGACTTTCTACAAACCATTCCAAACGGTTTTTAATTAAAATTTCAGCTAATTTTAACAGCACAGAAGATAAAACTATCGGTCGATATGAGCTGGCCTCAGATGGTGGTTTATTTGGTTTGAGGATGGGCAACACTACTTGTGACTTCCATGACAGAGGTATGTTTCCTGTCAACATGATAGTGTTGATAAGTTGTAGATAATAAAAAAGGATATTGTCACTTACATTAGCAAAGAATGAATATGGGATTCCATCTTCCCCCGGAGCAGAATCTTTAACATGATATATTGCACTTTTCAGTTCACGAAGAGAAAAGAGGCTATTTAAACCAGATTGATTATAAGACGACTGCGAAGGTTGTGTGGTGTTGAGCATGGGAACCCATGAAGGGGCCAATTTGTCCATGAAATCAATAGTTATTTCGGTGGGAGTAGTAATTCCAGAAGATATATTATATGAAGATTTTAATCTTTTTATGTTTTGCCAAACAAGAGTAGGATGTGTGTTAGGAGAAATAGAACTACAGAAACTTTTCCAACTGTCAAATTTTTTCTTTTTAAATAATCTTTTTGTTTCAGCAATCGTTTTAGACAAGTATTCATAGTTAGCTTCAGACATATTATTATTGTAAATTCTTTCAGCCTCTTTTCTCTTCTTAACCGCTTCAGTGCAATCTTTATCCCACCAAGGAGGGGATGGTATTTTTGTGCAATTATTTTCTTTGACAGGAAACACCTCTCTGGCAGCTTCATTTAAAATATTTGATAATGCTTCAGCGCAAATGTTTTCATTTCCATGAGTTATAACAGGGAGGTGCTTAAGCTTGCATTCTACATTAGATTTATAAGTAATCCAATCTTTAGAACTTTTATCAGGTAATTTATATCTTCTAGTAGACTTTTTCTGGGAAATACTAGGTTTATTAAACGGAAATGTAATAATAATAGGGAAATGATCACTTCCTAATGTAGAAGATAAAGTATGCCAGGATAAAGAAGAAGCCAAATTTGGTGTGCATATTGATAAATCTACTGCACTCTTATTAAGTTTAGGATCAGTGAGTCTTGTAGGTGATCCTGTGTTCAAGTAACATAAATTATGTGACTCAATAATATCTAATAAATTTACTCCATAACTATTAATAATAGAACTTCCCCATGCTCTATGGTGACAATTAAAATCTCCTAAAACTAAGAAGGGTCTAGGAAGGGTAGAGAATAAATTATTTATTTCACCAAAAATTGGTGCAGATGGATGGCTGATATAAATTGATACTATGTTAATATTATATACTTTCACTGCTACAATTGAAATATCTTTATGATTTATAGATATGCTAATGGGATCATAACTAACACCATTTTTTATGAGAATGGCTACACCACCAAACCCATCACTTCTATCGTCTCTTAAAGAAGTATAACCCTTAATTTGAAAGTGTTTTTGTGATGTTAACCATGTTTCTGATAAAACTAAAATAGATGGTTCATATTTATTTAGTAAATAAATTATTTCACTTTTTTTACTAATAGCACTACAGCAATTCCACTGAATTATTTTGTCTGTCTGTCTGTCCATTTAAAGTTGGTTTCATATTATTATCAATATTCTGTGCAGCGTTGGACGGTGGGAAGAGATTAAACTGGGAAAAAAGATTGAAAAGAGCAGTAACAAAATCTGTAGGAAGTTGTGTACCTGATGCAGAATTAGTATCATTATTAAAACCACATCCATTATTAGGTGAAGGAATCATAAATTCCTTTAATAAGGCTTTATGAGCAACTGTGTCATACCCCTTTGTAGGAATAGGAGAAGAGCGAGGTTTCAAAAATGTAGTTTTCTTGTAAGATGTCCTAGGGCTTACATTGGGAACAGCTCTACTATTTTCCATCTCATTCATGGACAATTTTGCAGGTGGGGCAGCTACAGTTTCAGCGTAAGACTTAGAAATAGATGGTATCAATTTAGAAGCTTCAGCATAAGATACACAATTTTGTGCCATGTAAAGTTTGATTTGTGACTGCCTTACAAATTCTGGACATAACTTATTATTAGCAAAATGATATCCATCACATAAGCAGCAGGATGCATCTTCTTCCAAAGTATTACAAGACTCACCTGTATGATTTTGACCGCACTTGAAACATCGAGGTTTAGATCTACATTGAGACTTTGTATGCCCGAAGCGACAGCATTGGTAGCATTGTATCGTAGGATATATGTATAAATCTACATTAAGAGCATTATAACACATAAATATGCGTTTTGGTAAGATTTGACCATCAAAGGTTAAAACAATAGTTTGAGATGGCTTCCAAGTAGGGGTATCATTTACAAAGGTTTTATAATTTAGCCGTCTCACTTTCAAGATTTCACCACAACCTATAGGTACAGATATATTACTTTTAACCTCCTCGGGAGACCAGTCTGAAGGAACGCCTCTAACTAAACCCATTCTTGTGATGTTGAATGAAGGAATAAATGCTTTTAAATTGTTTGTAACAAGACTGTTGTGGATAATAAAATCGTTTGCATCATAGTGTGTTGAAAAAGAGACAGACATTTTATTGCGGCCAATCTTTTTTACGCTACCATTAATAACGTTCTTGAAGCAGTTCTTTTTTAAGAATTTACCAAAAGCCATCGGATGCAATGAGGTTCCATCGTTAGGTGTCGCTTGTTGTTTTTGAACATGTACCACGTAAGGAGCAGCATCTGTTTTATCATATGATGTTCTACCAACGGATACAGGGGCAGAAATAGGTGTAGGTGTGGGATTAGACACATGTAGGTCTTTCGTAGATGAGTCAGTTTTATTATTCAGCTCAGACTGAACTGGAGTCGATTCATAGCAACTACAATCGGTAGGTTTTGGTTCTGATTTATTATGTTTGCGTCTTTTTTTATTGCAATGCTTGCATACATGAAGTCGACTCCTTTTCAGAGAGCGACTAGCTACTGATCCATCCGTATCCATACCAGATTCATTATTTGATCCTATTGTAACAAAATTACTAGCCGGGGGGACAAAACCCCCCGGCTCCGGTAGCTCGTTCATACACCTAATAAATATTAATTAAATTTTGACTCACCAGAAAGTAGATAATAAATAATACTTAAATACACTATAAATACGTAAGTACAAACCAATTAACTGATCACTATTTTATGCAAGAGGTATTAGTTAAAAATATTAAAATCAAAAAACGCGCCCGCCAAAGTTAAACGTTTCCCGCGCTTTTTTTCCCACCTCTAGTTATTGGCGTTGCCCTTGTGGATTCCGGCGAAATCCATAAGGGCAACGCCAATAATTAAAAAATTAAATAGAACTGCTCAATAGCAAAGAGTAGTATTATAGTACTCTTTATATTATATGCTCAATAGTAAAAATTGTTTTCTTATAAGTTTGTGATTGTGATATAAGTGAAAAAAGGAAAGAAAGTATCTCAGTTGTCTGTTGTTAAATTTATTATTTAATGTATTTGTGATGTAGAGCGGTATTTTACAACATCCATCACAATGTCGCTCGAAATACCGTTGATGAACACCGATGAGGTAAATTGCTAATTTTGTTACCAAGTTTAATATTATTTTGTTATCTCCTCTTATGTGGTTTTTGCGCATATTTAGGTGATCGAGTTAGATCCCGAGCAGTTACCATCAGGTGATGAAGTGCTGAGCATATTGCAGCAAGAACGTTCCCAGCTTAATGTTTGGATAAATGTTGCGGTAATAAAATTAACCTTAAAATCAACTAAGTTGTCAATATGGTAGAAAGGAGAGACTATATACATATCTGTTATTCCAGCTCGCGTACTACAAACAAAAGAAGATCGATGATTTCCTTAAAATCCTGGAAGAGTCCCGTGTGGACGCCAATATTGACTATAGAGATTTTGAAAGAGATCAAATGCGGGCCCTCGATATGTTGGCGGCATATTACGTTCAAGAAGCCAACAAAGAGAAGTCGAAAGACAAGAAAAAGGAGTTGTTTACTAAAGCAACATTACTGTACACCATGGCCGATAAAATTATTATGTATGACCAGGTATATCAAATTGCATATTAAAAGTATATTTCAATGTCCTGTAGCCACTGTTACAACTTTGATTTCCTACTTAACCTGTATCTTTTTATATAGAATCATCTTCTCGGAAGAGCTTATTTTTGCCTCCTTGAGGGTGACAAAATGGAACAAGCAGATGCGCAGTTTAATTTTGTTCTCAACCAATCGCCGAACAATGTGCCGTCTTTACTTGGCAAAGCATGCATTGCATTTAATCGTAAAGATTATAGAGGTGCTTTGGCATTCTACAAAAAAGCACTAAGAACAAATCCTGACAGTCCTGCTGCTTTACGGCTTGGTATGGGTCACTGTTTCATGAAACTTAATAATCAGGAGAAAGCCAGGTAAATAAAATTTTAAATTTCATAACCAACATATTTGTGATAGAAAATGTAGGTTAGTTTGGGATGCACGAATTTTCTGCTCTTGCACAAACATCCATTAAAATTGTCATTACCCATACAAATTGTTATAACCCATGCGACATTAAACCTTAATGGATGTTTGTTCTACTGACTATTAGACACTAATCAATCCATTGTGCATGAGATCATCTATTTCAATAACAAAGATTAGTTAATACATGAATACCAATTCTTTATAAGTTATTGCAATGCAAAGCAAAAGTTTGGAAGTTTCTCCCTTGAAATACCTTTCATGAACACTATTGAAATAAATTGACAAAGGTGACCTAGTGTAGTACACTGTATGTGCAAGAGAATTATTGTTAAATATATGTGACATGAAATACATAGGGTGAGCCCCATACCCCACACCTAATTCTGAGATTATTATTGACTTACTAAATAATGAACTACCTTTTTGCTACAAAACAAGGATAATTAATAGCCTATTATTTATTTTTTGATTTTTCAGAATGGCCTTTGAAAGAGCTTTGCAGTTGGATCCACAATGTGTTGGTGCTCTGGTTGGTCTTTCTATTCTTAAATTGAATCTGCAAGAAAGTGAATCAAACAAAATGGCTGTCATAATGTTGTCCAAAGCTTATGCTATTGACCCAAAAAATCCTATGGTCTTGAATCATTTAGCAAACCACTTCTTTTTCAAAAAGGTATGTTAATGGAATCAACAGTGATTTTAGCAATAATTATAGGTCATTTCATAAAACATTGGAATTGTTTTTTTTTTTCTAACCTTGTAAGAACTAAAATACAATTTTTATGTTAAATCTAATTAATACAGTGAAATTTATGAACTTGTAGGACTACAGCAAAGTTCAGCACTTAGCTTTGCATGCATTCCATAATACGGAGAATGAAGCAATGCGAGCAGAGAGCTGTCATCATCTCGCAAGAGCGTATCATGCTCAAGGTGACTGTGATCAGGCTTTCCAATATTACTACCAAGCAACACAGTTTGCTCCACCTAATTTCGTTCTACCCCACTACGGTCTGGGTCAGATGTATATCTACAGAGGTGATACTGAAAACGTTAGTATGTTTTATGGTGTTTATTAATAATAATATATCAGGAACAAAATTATATAGAGGATAATAATAGAAATGATAGGGCACTCGTAATTAAAGTTTTGATATGTTCATCTGCAGGATTACCATCACTGTTTGTGATGGTGTTGCAGCTAACTGATTAAAACAGCCATTCAATTAGACTGCTAGCCAGGGTTCATAATTTTCAAGATAATTACAAAAGTTACACAAAAAAAAAATAAACAAAAAAATTAACTGTGAAATCAAATTGAAAATAAAATGTATTAATAACAAGAGTTTGTGTAGTGTTTTATAATTATCAATGCTAACTATCATTCTGAACCCTGCTGCTAGTTTCCTTCCTCTCTCCTAGAGGGAAGAGAAATAAACAGTCTGTTGACGCTAATTTGTTAACAAAGCAAAACTAGAGAAACAAGCGAAATGGTGGTGTAGACATTTTTTTTAATATTTTTATTTCATAGATATACATAAAATATATAATCAGAATAATTAAAGATTTGAAATGTAAAAATAAATTTAATTTTCAAAATTTCCTGCAAAGCCGCCAGCTTCGGTCATGGTGTCGCTATGATGTCAGGTTCCTCTAAAACTAATACCGTTCTATGTGTGCATAAGACTTAAATCTCTAAGTTAGTTACTTATGAGTAAGAGGGGCGTGACGCCACGTGCTGTTTGCTATCACGTGACAACGAGTATAAAATATTTGTTTAATATTATAATTATTAAAAATATAAATAATAGCAAAATCTTTTGGAGAAACTTAAAAAGAAAAATTTTACCGACTCAAGATAAAGACGATCTCCTTCCAGAGTGCTTTGACAATCCGCATTCTATAAATAATTATTTTTTGAAGGTGCCTGGCTCGGAAAAAGTATCCATCTCTCAGTTGTCTTTTTTCGAGCATTATCGGTTTAACATCGTCACGCCTCCGCTTAAATTGCATACTGTTACTGAAGCTGAGATTTCTAAATACATAATGACAGTGAAATCAAACGCTGCTGGCTGTGATGAAATTAATAGGGACATGGTGATGCTGTCGCTGCCACGTACGCTTTCGGTAATCACTTCCATAATAAACAGGTCAATAGTCTCCAGTACGGTCCCTGATCAGTGGAAGACTGCACTAATTACACCATTGCCTAAAGTTGAATCTCCTAGTGAGCCAAATGATCTTAGACCAATAAGTATATCGCCTTTCCTGTCCAAAATATTGGAAAAGGTTGTATATTGTCAACTGGTGAAGTATGTGGAGGCAAATAATATATTACCACTACATCAATCCGGCTTTCGGAAGGGTCGTGGCACTGTGACATCATTGTTGGATGTTACTGACAATATTCTTGCGGAACAGGATGTTGGTCGCGTCACATTATTGACGCTTCTTGATTTCTCGCGTGCCTTTGATGGTCTCAGTGTCCCTCTACTTTTATCTAAGTTAGCCTATTACGGCTGCGATCCGAACTCGATGAAGTGGTTTAGTAGCTATTTCAGCAATCGCTTTCAGTCGGTTAGACTCCGCAGGCAGGACGGATCTTTTATGAATTCCAGCCCGGAACCTGTAAAGCGAGGTGTACCCCAAGGCTCCATACTTGGACCTCTTCTCTTTATTATATATACGGCTGATTTGCCAGCAGTTATTAAATATTGTAAATACCACTGTTATGCTGACGATGTGCAATTATATATTTCTGGGACTCAACATGAAATAACCCAAACCGTTTGGGAGATGAATGAAGACTTAAAAGGCGTAGCTATGTGGTGTGATGAGAACGATTTGGTTCTCAATAAGACAAAATCCAAATTTATGGTCCTGGGATCGAAAAACCAAACTGCTATTATTCTGAACAATCCCCCGAGTATCAAAATTAATGGCAGTGACATAGAGCTAGTCAATGAAGCAAACAATCTTGGAATGATTTTTGATAGTCAATTGCGTTTTGAGAACCATGTGTTAGGTACTGTTAGGAATTGTTTTTACCGGCTGAAGGTACTGTATAGGATACGAAATTTTCTATCGGAAAAAGCTCGTATCGCCTTATGTGAATCTTTAGTTTTATCAAGGTTGAATTACGGCGACTTGGTTTATGGTCCTCGTCTGCTGTGTAGGACTCAGATTCTGATACAGCGGATTCAGAATGCGTGTTGCCGTTTTTGTTTTAATATCCCACCGTGCACTCATGTCTCGCCTTTTATTAATAACGCCTCAATGTTGAATATGGAGTCGCGCCGTTACCTACATCTAGCCATGTTAATGTTTGACATAATTAAGTTAAAAAATCCGAAGTATTTGCTAGATAAATTGACATTCCTATCATATCAAAGTGAAGCTATAGTTTGAGATCGTGCTAGCACTCTGGGTAAAGGCTGAAAATCAGCGCTTTGCTCCTTGAGCAAAGGAATCGTTGAGCTTTTACCCTTTTGCATTGTTGTGGCACACACGTTAAAGCGAATTTTTTTTATTGTATTTTTTTTTATTGTGTTAGAATTTTATAATGCATGTGTGCTATTTTAATAATGCAAATAAATATACTATCTATCTATCTATCTATTATAATAAGCATAAACGTGTGATTATCGGTAATAGTATATTAAGCACTACCAGAAAAAATTGTATACGTTTTTTTCCACCTGGAGCACTTGGATTGACCTCATCGATAAGAGGGTATTGAGTGAACTTCCAAAGAGAGCTCTCATGAGAACTGGTTACTTTCCAGCTTTCTGGAAAGTCTCACAAGTCATCATAATTCAAAAGACAGGAAAACCAATCCACAAAATATCCTCTTATAGGCCAATAAGCTTTTTATCAGTGATCTCGAAGTTATTTGAGAAGGTTTTCTTATTCAGACTGTCAGTAGAACTAGATAAGAGGTCCATATTACCAAACACAGCACTATGGAACAAGTTCAAAGAGTGAATAGAGATATTCGGGAAACCCTTGAACAGAAAGAATACTGTTCTACTGCATTCCTTGACACACAACAGGCATTTGACAGAGTCTGGCACAGAGGCTTATTATGCGAGATAAAACAGCTCTTGCACTTATTTTGGAATCATAAAATCATACCTCTCAGAGCGAATATTCTAAATTTGGAAATACAACTGCAGATCCCAATTCCACCCAATCATAGCTGGTGTGCCTCAAGGTTCTGTATTGGGGCCAATGCTCAATGTGATTTATATGTATGATTCACCACAACTGAAGGCGTCACAGTGATCACTTTCGCAGATGACATTGCCATCCTGGAGCGAATGAAGCCTCACTGAAACTGCAACTCAGTCTTTCTGCAATACAAGGCAAGGCTGACCAAGTGGAGAATAAAGACTAGTGCTGCAAAATCAGTACATGTGACTCTTCGTAAAGGAAAGCGTCCTCTAGTCTCAACGTGGACATCAACTACCTCAAAGAGACTCAGCTCAATATCAAGGACTATAGTTAGACAGGAGGCTGACAGAAAAATCACATCCAAGCCAAATGAAAGTTATTTTGGATGTTAGGAAGAAACTCTTATACTCTCGCTGGAGAACAAGTTACTTATCTACAAAACAATAATCTATATATATAAAAATGAATCGCTAAATGTGTTGGTAAGCGCATAACTCAACAACGCCTCGACCAATTTGGCCAAATCTTTTTTTAAAATGTTCGTTGAAGTTCAAGGATGGTTTTTACGGCGAGAAAAATTAGAATTATTGCTGGAAAAACCCTAAAAATAGCCCTTTTCTTTTTCCCATACAAATGATTTGTAACTAAAACGTAGTCAATTTGAGCTTTATTGCTATGGTATAAAGTTCATATTAAATTACAAGCACTCACTGTTGTCTAAGCAATGTAGGTGTGTTCCTAACGTCAAAGATCATATCTATCAAAACAATGTGCGTGTGTGCGTTGGAGCACAGAATACATAGTTGGAGGAGTTTAATGTCGCGTTCCGAAACTCGCGTTTCTTTTGTATTAGTTTCGGCACGCGAGATAAAATGCATCAGTTTCCACGTCATTACATGTATTGCCGGAACATTGATGAAAATACGCTCTGTAGTAGCAAAGCTGTTGGGTCCTAGATAGCTCATTGGTTAGAGCAGTCCCTGGATCGCGAATGGGTTCGAGTCCCATTCCGGGGTACAGGTAGATGGATTCTTCCAGCATTTTTCCTTGAGAATGTTTATATATTTTTTTAATTCGAATAGTTTTATAATTTAATTTTATAATGCTGTTGTGTGTAATGTGTTTTTATGATCATAAAAATCTCTTTTTTCTATATTTAATACTATTACTATTAATACATTGCAATAATAATTATGATTCACATGATTAACAATAAAGCGATTACTTACTTTTAAATCCTTATATATGTTTTATTTAATTATTTTTTATTCACAACGCCCTATCACCAGGGTGACGGTTCTGTTCAGTAGAATTTTTTTAAATACGTAGGCAAAAAAACTGCCACATTACAAATCTTTTTGACAGGACGAAGTCTGTCGGGTCAGCTAGTAAACAATAAATATAAGCATCATACAGAGAGCTCAAAATTCATACAGAGAGATCAGAACTAACTGTATGAAATACAAGACAAGACTCAATCCATCCAAATGAACTTCTGGTGCAGCTTACTACTCGCGTGGGTGTGCACAGACTGAAAAGACGGCAGACCTGAATGAGCCTAAGGATAGATTTTTCTAATGAGATCACTGTAAAATATGCCTCTACCAACACATCAGTGCATAGTCTCAGAATTAAAAAGATTCGAAAGATTCGAGATAGATTTCTTTTTCGTTTACTGTCTACACCCATATAACTAAAAGCTTTTAAATTAGCTCATTGAACATTTTAAATGTCATAATGATTTATAATTAAAGAGCTAGCAGTCTCACTGGTTGGCTATTTTAACCAGCTTTCTGCGACATTGACACATCATAGATAAACCTGTATGACAGTAAATGCGTTTTTTTTCTTTTCTTTTTTTTTCCACATTCATGTATCATGTATAAAAATTCTTTACTATTCTCCATTTCTCAGGCTGCTCAATGTTTCGAGAAGGTATTGAAAGCGCAACCAGGTAATTACGAGACAATGAAGATCTTAGGCTCTTTGTACGCTAATTCGCCATCACAATCTAAACGAGATATCGCGCGTCAACATTTGAAGAAAGTTACGGAGCAATTTCCAGATGATGTGGAGGCGTGGATCGAACTAGCACAGATATTGGAACAAAATGATTTGCAGGTATGTGTGTCTATTTGTAATTTACAATCAATAGAACATGGATGACGTGCACACGTAGCATGACGAACCCGAGGAACGCTTTGTCTACATCAAATGTCACTTTTCTCAGATCGAGAGGGAGATATTGTATGGGCTCATTTAAGAAATGACATTTAGGGGTAGAGAAAATCTAAGGAATAAGTACTTAAAAATAAAGTAGTTCTTGTAGTTAGATTAGATATCGAAAGTATAATACGTATAAATACTTTGAAATATGAAATACATAGGCTTGTGTCCTACAATTTATTTGCAAAATATTACGTTTCGAAAACTTGGAAAAGCTAGGAAAAATGTACTAAAATACACACGGCATTAAATTAGTTACGCACAAACATCAAGGATATTACAAAGATTGCACAGACGCCCATACGTTTTCTGCAACTGTAGCCCCATATGACGTCACTTAGTGCATTGAATTTGTATGGAACGTTTTCAACCGACTAGCAATAATTCCCACAAACACAACCCCATATCACCAAAACTATTAATCGCAGACATGCTGTTACTTCTAGATAATATTTTTTTAGAACAAACTGATTCCGTTATATTTTTTAGGGTCAATTATCATCCTTTAAAATTGTATTGTATTGATTGAATCAGGAATTTTGTTTTTGTATGAAAAGCCAGAAAAACTTCCTCCAAATTATCTCCACGATTTTTAAGTAATAACTGCTTGAGAAAGTTGGTTATCTCTGAAAGTTCTACTAAAAAGCAGAATATTCTGGTAAGATAATAATGCTTATTGTTTAGGGTTCGTTGAATGCATACAGCACAGCAATGAAGATTCTTAAGGAGAAAGTGGATGCTGATATTCCCGCTGAAATATTAAACAATGTAGCTGCCTTACATTACAGGCTAGGGAATTTAAATGAAGCTAAGAATTATCTAGAAGAAGCTCTCGAAAGGTAAGACATGATTATTTAAGAATCCACTTTTTGTTTCCGTAATGAAATGCGTTAGGCGCTCCAACATATGGGTGTAGAGGGGACTCTCCTCCATGTACCCACAAAATCCCGTACGGTGTACCCTCTTGGAAGATGAGAATCGGAAAACTGTGACCAGGTCAACAAAACATTCATCCTCCTATTAAAGGTAATTTCATTAGTGAAAATTAAATCACAAAATTGCACTAAAATTTAGATTGAAATAAACAATAGATTCTGATTTTGAGTCATAAAATCACATTATTATCGTATTCGATTTTTTTTGTATGTGTATCACCTGATTTGAAACACGAACCGCCATTGTGTGACGTCGCTACGGTGCAAGCTGTTAGGTTATAATTTACTTTTTCCTTCAATTTAAAAACTGCGTTGCAGCCACGAACACCCACCTCCATTGTATACAGAACAATGTTCCACTTCAGAAAGTTAAATAAATCAAACTTAAAATAACATGCATTCTTATTATTTGTGTATATGATAAGTCGTAAACATATGCCTATTTATTATAAATCAAATTCCTAGATGGCACTGTTCATGTTTTATTTATATTCTACTGCTCTATGCGTCTGTTTTGCGTACGTTTTCGCGGATATAAAATTTTTTAATTTAATTTTAACGCAAGAAAGCGTTTATTTTCCAAAGAACTTGTTATTATGGCATTTTTTTTAAATGAAAATATATATAGAATACATTATAGAATACTCTATTGGTCCATGCGGGCGGCCATGACAGTGCATCGTATGACGTCATATTTTAATAAATAAAAAGTCAATGTCTTTGATGTAGAACCAGTACCCATGTTTATTGAAATGTGATGTCACGGTATGAAATAATACGTGACTCTTTTTTGTTTTGTTATTTTTGCTGCACATTAAATTACTTAATGAGTAGCAACTTTTCCCTTCATTTGATAACACTTAATAGGGATAAATAAATCTGACAAATAAGTATAATATGATGATATGAAGGCTTAATAAGATCATATCAATAATTTGCCTATGTAATTCAGTAACCAATTTTATAACATTTTTATTTGTAATAACAAATTTGACTTCCTTTCAGAGAAAAGGCTGATGCTGAAACTTTAGATGCTCAATACTATAATTCAATAGCTGTTACAACCATGTATAATTTGGCAAGACTCAACGAGGCATTATGTGTATATAATAAGGCAGAAAAACTTTACAAAGATATATTGAAGGAGCACCCTAATTACATAGATTGCTATTTAAGGTGATTTTTTGTGCATTTTTGTATTTAATAATGCAAAAAAAAAATGTTTTATATATCTCATTATATTATTTACCTTTTTTTCTATCAAATACTATAGGTTATTGATTGAATTTCTTTTATAGTTTCTTTAAAATAACTAATTATTTAAAATTTGAATAGTTAAATAGACAAGGGTAGAAAAAAACTTTATGATGTCATATCATGGTGAACCATTGATTTCAATAAATTATCATCATCAGAAGATAATTATGTTTGTATTTCGGATTGTATAGATTGGGATGTATGGCCAGAGACAAAGGTCAGATATACGAAGCGTCAGATTGGTTCAAAGAAGCCTTGAAGGTGAACCTCGAGCATCCTGACACGTGGTCGTTATTGGGCAATCTCCATCTTGCCCAACAGGAGTGGGGTCCCGGACAGAAGAAGTTCGAGAGGATATTGCAGAACTCCTCCACTTCCACCGATGCATATTCCCTTATTGCTCTCGGTATGTGGCACAAATATATTCTTATTTGTATACTACATGTTTGTGGAGATCTCGATGGCATGGTGTCATAGCTTTGGGCATATCGAATATCACGCGAATACAGCTCGAGCGCTAATAATTGACAAAATAAAATCTTTCGTGCAGTTCAATAAGGAAATTTCAGTGCAGAATCACATTTATTAATTTTGAACCCTACCTTCAATATTCTTAGGTTTAAATTCAAATAGTGGCTTTTTTATAAGCTAGGATTTTTTTTATTGTTAACTAGCTGACCTGACAGACGTTGTCTTGTATTAATTATGAATATTGAATTCGAATTAGTATAATTAATAAAAATGATATTTAAATAAAGTGTTTATTATTCTAATGCTTTATGATATACAATATTCTTGGTTTTTTTTACATCGTATTTGACGACATTTGCAGCACGCTTTCTGTCAGTTCTATGTCAAATGTTACATTAAAAAAGTTCCAAAGTACTAAGGTCAGATTACAAATAATTTTATTTGATCTTTAAATATTCTTAAATTTTCCACACAATATTTTAATTTTATAAAAACCTTCTCCTGACAATAACAAACACAAAAAAGAGCGAAATCGCTCAAGCCCTTCACGTGTGATGGTGTGACCAAGGGAAATAGGGATTCATTTTTATATATTGTTAATAACAGGGAATGTTTGGCTGCAAACTTTACATCAGCCGTGTCGTGAAAAGGATAGAGAGAAACGGCATCAAGAACGGGCACTGGCAATGTACAAACAGGTTCTCAAGAACGACCCTAAAAACATTTGGGCAGCTAATGGCATCGGCTGTGTTCTAGCTCACAAGGTAAAAGAAAATTCTATAAATAACAATAATGGAATAGGTCATAAACCGGTCAACTGCTTTCTCGTACCAAACGATCTGTATCATTATATGAAAACGAAAAAAAGAACACTATTGGATATTTGACTTATTTAAAAAAATAGTTTTAAATTATTCTTTATTGCATAAGCACCTCACATTAATATTTAGGTAAAATTAACTATATCTATCAATAGAAACCAAAGTTTCCGAATACGCGCCAAAAACGCTGTGTGTCATACACCGTCGTTACGAAGCGTATGAAGTCACGCGTTAGTAAATAAACAAACATCGTCAAACTAAAATCAATAGGAAGCCATATTTACTAGCGTGTGACGTCATCGGAGTTGCAACCACTTACAAAGCAAGGCATTATACATTATTTTGTTTTGAAATAAAGAAAAATAAAAATAATAACTATGTATAAATTTTTAAAGTTTTCAAATACCCTATTCTTGCAAATGTAAAGGAATCCTTTAATTTTTTTTTTTTTAGTATTTGTTATAGTGAACATTATATGTGAACATTTCAATTGTTTAACTTTCACATTTCATTAGATACAGCGTGGTAACACGGACGGATAGATAGACTGATAGCGGGATCTTAGTAAAGGAGTCCTGTTTTACCCCTCTTTTAGGCTACTCAACACTAGAAATGGCAAATAACCTACGCTTTTATAATTAATTAGACCAATTACAATCACAGTTATCGTAGAAGTACTTTCATGTGTCTTATTGTGACGCTATTGTTTTCTTTCTAGTGCATATTGTTTCATACATTAGATTGAAACTGATGTATATGTTAATTCGTACGAATTATATTAGCTGTAGAAAATTAAAAAAACAATTTTTTAGGGCTGCGTCAATGAAGCACGCGACATTTTCGCACAAGTTCGCGAAGCCACTGCCGATTTCCCCGATGTCTGGATGAACATCGCACATATATACGTGGAACAGAAACAGTACATCAATGCTATACAAATGGTAAGTGAAACTTGCAGATAACTAAATCTTTTTAGTTATGGTCGTCACAGACTTTTTCGCATTGAACAAATTATTTTTTTACTTTGTTGGATATGATGAATATGAAATACTTCAAAGGATAATTCCAAAGGAAAAGAAATATTACTATTTTTGGTTTGAAAATTTTAAAGCTGTTTTTATTACTCTAAAGAATATCAACTCCTACTGGATTTCCCTAAGGTCCTAACGCTCCGCTCATGTATCAATTTTAACAACAGAAAATTACTTTTAAGCCCTACTAGTGGCGAGCCGTTGTCGCTGATTTATCAGTTAGATAAATCAGCTATACTGAGCTCATAAAACCATGCATCGTTTTTTTTTTACATATGATATACTTAAGCTTTCGCCCGCGTGGTCCCTAGGAAAATGTTTAGTGGGATCAAATGTATCCTATTATCTAAGTCAGCTTATACCCTATATGTATACCAAATTTCATCAAAATCCGTCCAGTAGTTTCGGCGTGATTGACGGACAAACATACAAACTCTCACATGAATAGGATAGACAGACTATATAAAACTATCAATTCCCCCAATTGACTTTAAACTTGATATGTTGTCGTTAGAGTTTAGAATTAATTGCAGAAATTTGACATATTCTGGTAACCTAATAGACGTGTATATATAAACTGTGTAATAGCAGCTCTATATCATTATACTGCGATGGGTCATGATCCTTCACGCTGGCCCAATGCGGATTGGCGGGTATTATTGAACGCCTTAACGTGCCTTCCAAAGCACGGAGTGGCTCGAGATAATAATTTTTTGGTCACCTATTCCTTGATCGACCCTCGCGAAAGTTGCTTAAGACCAAAGATTGCAGACAGCATCGCTTATCCACTACGCCACCGAGATACTACTTTGTAATAGGATATTCTACTCTGTTTGAAATAAAACTTATAACTGTTTATTTTATATTTGAAAATCCATAAAACAAATATCGCGAAAATAAACAAGTTTTATTGCCTTAAAATTAAATCAAAATTTAAATTTTTTCATACCCGCGAAAACGCTGTCCGTCATATTCATGACGTCATTGTGATATGTATACGAAACCTTAACTCTATGCACAAAACTGACGCATAGAGTATAAGATTAAAAGATGTCAATAAAACTTATTTTAACTTTAGATTGCATTGCTCTTAAGCAATACCATCTAAAGATCGGTACCGAAATAATTAATTATAGGTATATCTTTACGACTAATCTTACGTCACACAATGACATGGAAAGTGTTTCAAGTCACCTAACACACAGACAAAAAATCACAACTAAAATCATCGTGCTATTTTGAGACTCAAGACTCAAAGCTTTTGTGTAATTGCGCGACTTATTTTTCACTACTGGAACTATCCTTATATCTTTGTATAATACTGTGCAACAATGTGGGAAATAAACTATTTATTATTATTATTATTATTATTTTAGGTATATGTATATCCATACTGAAGTCACACAATGACACGAGACGTGTTTCAAGTCACCTGACACACAAAGAAAAAATCACAACTAAAATGATCTTGCTATTTTAAGATTAAACCTATTTATTGTATTTTAACAACAATAAGTATTAAAAAAAACTCGGTATGTTGTCAGTACGAGAACTGCATCCGTAAGTTCCGTATGCACCATGACGTGGAATGGCTGACTTGGGTGGCCCGCGCGCACGGTCTGGCCGCCCGTCCCGCGGCCGCCCGCTCCGCTTTACTGCGGGCGCGACGCGTGGCCCCGCACGACCCCGCGCTATTGTATAACACCGCCTTAACACTGCGAAGACTCGCCGCGCACGTGCTCAAAGATGAACGCTCCGAATTACACCGTGTGTTGCGCGCCGTGCACGAGCTGCAAGTGTCCCACAAGTGAGTTTGTTTTACTACGCTCTTTAATATTGATTCACAGACACAGGCATGTATACTCTATGTATTTATGTGATTGATTGGATCAAGAACCTAGATATAATGCATATATGAATGATGTATGTTATTTTGACATACACAAAAAAAAAATTGCACTAAATTTCACGATTCGTTACTGTTTAATGAGCTCGTTCTTATTTGAGAGCGAACTTACTTTTTGTTATGATAAACTTTATTTTCTACAATAAAGAGTACATCTAGAAAGTATCAAGAATATAAGAAATTCGATAGGGTCGGTAAGGTCTCAATTTAACAGTTAAACGTTTTTCATTTAACAGTTAAACAGCTTGTAATGGCTGGTTAATAAGCCATTACAAGCTAAGTCGAATTTTAACTTAATTTTAAGTGATTGAGTACCTGTAAACACACGAATTTCTTACGATTTCCAATTGGATCAATGTAAAAACTTTTCAATATTGTCTCGGGTCTGGGTGTTAACTTCGTTGTTCAGATACACTATAATACCGGGGCTTTAGCAAGTCATCTTTAATTTTCAGCAATATATGTGATGTTGTCAATGCCGGATTAAGCCAGAGCGGGGCCTTTAGCAAATTTTTTGAGGGGCCCTTGGTTTGCTTGAGATTAAGTGTATAATTGAAATGTAACATTCTTACAAACACACTTTTCTTCATTTGTAATGTTTAATTGTAAAAGTAATCGCCAATACAATTGTTCAGAGTCGACTAACAATGTGAGTATCAATATACGCCTTTTTGAGGTTTAACAGGAAAATAATGGTACGTTAGGATCTATGGGTTTCCAAATAATTTTGGTCATCCTTCCAATCGCCTTATATATAATAATAATAATAATTTCGTGAGGACGAATAATCGAAATCGGTAACTTTGCAAACAAATTTATTAGTCAAACCATAGCAATGCTCCCGGCCCCTAAAAGCGCGGGGCCTGTAACATTTGCTACTTTTGCTACGTGGCTAATCCGGCACTGAATGTTGTCTAATATTTATTTATAAAAGAGTCTAAGTTTATAAGTAGTTAACTAAATATTAACTTGCTACTTATTTTTATACACGTATTTGTAATCACTTAAAATTAAGTTAATTACGTATAAATTTAATATGTGTAAAGCAGCCAATATAAAATTAAATCATTTTAAATTAACAATTTAGTTAACTACTTAATTTTATGTAAACGAGCCATAATGTAACGTGTGCAAAGCCTGTCTCACAAAAGAAGTTTGTAATAAAAGCGAAAACATTGTGATGCCAGCTCCAGACTCTCGCGAGATGCCTCTCGGCACGAGTTTTGACGAGTGGAGGCTGCAGGAGGGCTAGCCATCCAGTCTTGATCTATTCAGTTGCCCGCTACGTTTATTACAAGATGGACGTGACTGAAATGATTTTGTGTGCCTATCGATATTATAATATCATGTGTCATGTATAATTATAAATCCAAAAAAATATCATCAAATTTGAATATTTATATCCTCCTGTTCCGGATTATTGGCTTCATACACCATCTTCTCTGTTTTGGCTATCTATTTTTACTTCGGCGCTATAAACAGTCACATCCATCTTGTATAGATTTAAAAAAAAAATCATATGCGTCAATATTATCTTTGCATCACACGCAGTGTCAGGGTCTTACCTCCGTTTCATTATTAATTATCGGAAAATGTGTTCCTATACAGTCGTATTAGGGTTTCGAAAATAGATGAATTTTGGTTTTCGGAGAAACAGAGTAGGCTTCACGTACCGGACTATGCGCGAGGGTGGTACGGGGGTTTTTGCACGGTAGGCCTGTTGTATATAGGGGTTCTTTAACCCTTCGCAGCAAGAGAGCCCGGGTTCAGTCGGCCTTTCATCCACGTCAACGACATGTTAATGTCAGTTCACGTCGGTAAAAATTACCTACCCATGTCGTAGTCTGGAGCCGGCGTGAGACGTACTGCGTGCGTGGTTGTAGGTACTTCCAGCGGCTGTCGCTGGCGGAGGGGGGAGGCGGGGAGGGCGTGGAGCGCGCCCGCTACGAGCCGGCGGCGGCGGCGGCGGAGGCGCGCACGTGCGCGGACCTGCTGTCGCAGGCGCAGTGGCACGTGGCGCGCGCGCGCCGCCAGCACGACGAGGAGGTCACGCTGCGCGACCGGCAGCGGGAGCAGCGCGACGCGTTCAGGAGGCAGCAGGTGATTATTGCGGCATTTGAGGGAACTAGGGCGTCGTATTCTAAAAAAGTTACCTAACCTAAAGCGACCAAAGTCTTGCGATCATTCGCGTACGTCGAAACTAGAATGAACTTACCAATGGAGTATTGGGACGTAGGCCGTCGTATTCTAAAAAAGTTACTTAACGTAAAGTCTTGATCATTCCTGTACGTCGAAACTAGAATGAACGTAACAATGGGGTCTAATTTGAATTGTTTGTTTGAAATAATTCTTGTAGCTGTTTAATAAAATAAAAAAACATATAACAAAATTTTTAGAACCTATTCTAAAATAGTTACCTAACATAAAGTCATTTCTGTACGTCAAAACTTGAAAGAACTTACCATTAGAGTATTCTACTCTGTTTGGTCACCCCCCCCCCCCCCTCTAGAGATTCTAAAAAAGTTGCCTAACGTAAAGCGACTGAAGTTTTTAGATCTATACCGTACGTCGAAACTAGAATCAGATACTTACTAATAGGGTATTCTACTCTGTTTGTAATAATACTTGTAACTGTTTATATTGGTTAAAAAAAAGCCATAAAACAAATTTTTCTGCAAAATGAATACGTTTTCTTGCCTTTAAATTAAATCAAAATTTAAACTTATTTATACCCGCGAAAACGCTGTCCGCCATATTTATGGCGTCATTGTGATATGTACACAAAAACTTAACTCTGTACACAAAACATTTTTGACACAAGCTCTTGCACTAGTAGTTCCGATCCCGCAGCCTGTATTCAATCTCGGTATTTGTAGAAGTAGGAGTTTTCAATATTGCGGGATTAGTGAGATGCCGTTATTTGTTATTGTAAACTGAAAACAAGTTCTTACGTTTTATGTAATTAATTTTAATGCCAGTATGTATTTTAGCAAATTCTTTAAATATATTTTTTTTTTCCTTTTTAAAGCTTTCAAATCTTCTGATTTAATGATATTCACGAATTTCTCACTACACCAATATAACATGTGATAGCTATTGCGAAAACGAAGTTCTTTTTATAGATATTTAATGAATCGTTCATTAATGTGACGTTAATTGGAATTATTTAGGGCAAACGTTAGACACAAATGTTACTTAAAGTTTAAGTTACTAGTTTTTTGTGTTATTTCATTCCATAAATCGCTATGACACAAATCAGCCAAGTTGCTAACAAATTTTATAATTTTAAAGGAAGAGGAGCGTCGCCGTCGCGAGGAAGAACAACAGAAGAGCACAGTGGAAATGCTTCAAAAGCGTCAAGAGTTCAAAGAGAAGACGAAGAATGCTTTACTATTCGCCGATATGCCTAATGAGGGCAAATCTAAAGGCGGCGGCAGGGGAAGGCGTAAGGACGAGTATATATCCGATTCGCCGGGCAGCGGCAGTGACGCACCCAGAGAGGAAGGGTGAGTTTATATTTATAATAGGGGTGTAGACGACTATTTTTATAACATTTAATGAGTAAATCTTTAAAAAAATATATAGATCCCGAAATCAAACTAGATGTCGCTACGGTACGTTCTTGATTTCTCCATGACAACCCTTCCGGTTTTCTTTCATGTTTAAGAGTAAATTAGTTTTCAAAACTCAATAAATAACTCATATTCCATTTGTACTTTTTCGTATTTGTATTGATATCTAAGTTTCGAACTTTTCAAATTTCAGTTTTATATATGTTAGTTAAAAGGAAAGGAAATGTCCATTCGTTTCCTGCAAAAATCAACTTTTGCTAGAGTCGCCATCTAGTGGAGGTGCTTTTTTAGTGGTTTCGTTTTTTTAGTACATCCTCGTTAACTGTTCACTGTTTCATTTAATTATATATTGTTTACTTGCATCACACTGTCTCGCAAAATAATACCACTTAATTTTAATCAAAACTTAACGGGTTTCCCGTCGTAAATTTAAGTAATGATGGCGTAGTTTTACGAGTTTAACAAGATAAATAATTTTGTGTTAATTATTATATGTATATTAAATTCTTAGAATAGTCAATATTTTCGCCGTATTAATATTGTACAACTTTAGAGATGTGTAGATTTTTCTCTAATCTTTTATTTTTTTTTTTACGTTTACTTATAAAAAATGTCCTGTAGCCGGGAACCGAAACAAAAGGGACGTCGTAAGCGCGAACCAGGTGAAGGGCGTAAAGGAAAATCCAAGAAACGCAGAGAGGCTAGAGGAAGTGGCAGCGATAGTGATCCACCACGCAAGAGGGGCAGGAAGAAGGTACACGTATAAACAATATAGTTCATATTTTTTTAATATTTATTGAAGTATTTATGGAATCTTTGACTCGTTTCCGTGTTGATTAAATCTCTCCAAAAAATATTACCGATTCTAGTGGAAAAAGTCGACATTATATTTCTTTTACAAATGTCGCTATATTTGAATCCTTTAATATTTAAATCAAACCGTTAACAAAATATGTATCTATAAGAAAAAGGGGACGGTTTATCTTATCAAATTTTAAAAATTATTTTTATTTATTAATGTAAATAAGATTGAACAAAAGCATTAAATTTCAGTGAACTTATTTTCGTTTTGGGGTATACCAAAACGGGATATAGGTATATACCTATATGTATGTATATACATCTATGTTATATATGTAGATCTAATCACAGAACTTTTATCGAAATATTTCTGTTCCGTTAGGGTGAAAAAGGTATCGGGCGTCGCGAAAAAGCGAAAGCAGCCGATGAGAAGCTCAGCGCTAAACAGAGAGCGAAGATCGTATCGAAGGAGACCATCTCTACTTCCGAGTCCGATTCGGACGGAGGCGGCCGCAAGTCTCGTAGCCGTAGCCGCAGCGGCAGTCGTAGCGGCAGCGGTAGCCGTAGCCGTAGTCGTAGCGGCAGCCCGCCTGCTACGAAGGGCAGGAAGAGGATCATGTCAGCGTCAGATAGCGACAAGTAAGTTGTGGATACGTTTATAATGAATTAATATAAGCAAATACGAAAATATAAAAATACAGTAAAATATTAAAACAATGATAATATGTAGTTGTAACATATATAGTTTAACTTAGACAGCAACCGGATTGCTTGCAAGCGTTTTAAAAATTCTTTACAGCATTATTTTAATATTTTAATACTCAAATATAATCAGTTTTTAAACATGCATATTTCATAATAGGTTTAAAGATTCTCATATAAACAAAAATAATGTAAAAAATAAATCCATAGTTGACCATTTGCAGAGTACTTTAAAAGTTCTCGATTCTACCAACCTGCCGTCTATTCTGTAAATATGATCGAATTTTTATGGTTCTCGGTATCGAAAGCTCTTTTAATATCAATAAAAATTCCTAAAGCGATATATTTTATATACTTAGTAGAGCAAAGTACAGGCTGTCATATCTACAGAGATAAAAAAATCAGTATGGAGTTAAGGTTATTTATGATGGCAGTTTTGGCATATATTAGATACTCGATTTAAATAATTCCTTATCCACTTAGTCTACCTAGTATTAGTAATTTCAAGTAGTAATTGGTCACGCTTCATGTCACTAATTTATAAGGAATCTTATTTAGACTGTTGGACTTAAATTGGCATTTAAAATTCTACGCAATACTTCAATAATTCTTTTATAATATAGCGATGCACTTACCTAGCTATGAAATTTAACTGTACCATGTCAAAGTCGAATATTGTTAAATGGTAAAAAATAGGTGAGCAAGACACGTACGTGCAAATATGATCTCTATTGTTTTAATATAGGGTAGCAAATCGTGTAAATTGCAGAAATATTTGTTAGATCAGCTTTTTAGAGAGTATTCTAGTGCCACCTAGTATTGTACTATATGCCTTTTGTACCTTTGTTTTCGTCAAGTTCAATAAACTAATATACCTCACCTCGAGACCCTTTACTTGCTAACCAGTTAAACTATTGTACAGGTCCCGTTCGCGCTCCCGAAGCAGGTCTAAATCCAAATCTCGCAGCCGTTCGAGGTCCAAAAGCGGATCTCGCTCTAAAAGCCGCTCGAGATCGAGGAGTCGATCGAAATCTAGGAGCCGATCGCGATCAAAGAGCCGATCTAGGTCAAGGTCAAAAAGTCGTTCCCGCTCGAAGAGTCGATCGAGGTCAAAGAGTCGCTCGAGGTCAAAGAGTCGATCGCGCTCCAAAAGTCGATCCAGGTCAAAGAGCGGTTCCAGATCGAAAAGTCCATCGAGATCACGCTCCAGGTAAAATATACACTATGTCTGCCATATTCATGACGTCATTGTGATATGTACACAAAACCTCTATGCACAAAACAGACGCATAGAGTAGAAGGTTAAAAGGTGTCGATAAAGTAAGAACAACAACAGGCATATCTTTACAACTCACGTGACACACAAATTAAAAATAACTACTTTTAATTTTAATATACTAATTGTGTGCGATGTGATTCGTGACTAATTTTTACTACCAAAACTTCCCTATTGTCTAACTAAATGTTTCTCGACCATTCAAATCATTATTCGTTCCGATAGCGATCGGAATTTTAAACGTTACATAATACCATAAATCTTTACCACAGTCCCTATACCTTTAGATAGATTATGCAGTTTATAGCAATATTATAAAACTAGGACATTTTGCCGCGTAAAAAAAAACTTATTGAGAATAATTCGTTGATATTTTGTACTTTCCTCAATTCAGAAAGCGACCTTTAATCGTTTTTTTTAAAGCACAACCCATAATAAATATTTTATTTTTTCAAGGTCCAGATCTGGCTCACGTCACTCACGACCCGCCACTCCCGAGTCCAGAAAATCTGTTTCAGCTAGTGAAGACGAAACTTAGACTATACGGAGAACACTTTAAGGTCCATTTTTCCTTAAGAGGTTTAATTTAGCACCTTTCCATTTATATGGAAAGAATTCAAATATAACGTAGTAAGTACTAATTCAGACTATTGTAAAAAGGCGACGTAAAACAGCACAACATGTTTCCGGTGTTGCCACAAATGCTTATTCAAGATTAGCTTTTACCATTTGTTGTTGTTATAACATATCACCCAAATTGAATTTATAACATAGAGAACGTAATCGCGAGTTAACTTCTAGGCAGACTAGGCACATGCCTATGGGCGCTAGACTTGACAAGAAAAAACAGACATCAACTACCTTCGTTAATAATAAAAACGACTTTTAAAAAAATATATATTTGTCTATTCTATATTGTCTCTGTTCTGAGTGTTTGAATATTGTTCGATGTTTAAATGTCTATAATCTAAGTGCTTGGGCTACATAATTAGGGGTCTAAGCAATGTACACACTGCATGTCAGGTTACCACGATTTATCGAATGTCTACAATGGCTTTTGACCTTTACCCCTATTGTATTAAGGTTTAAAATCGTGTGGGGTTAGATAGTTTTGTGTAATCTGATGTGCTGTTGATTGAATGTGATATATTTAACTATCTTTTAATTTTTGACACTCGAACTTTTATATAACATAAACAACACAGGCTTATGCCTTAGGTGCCGACGGTTTTATACCGCCGCCAATGATAGGGTTAATTTTGTATAGTATTAACAAATTATTACTTTTTTGTCTCTATTAGTGAAATGTTATTTTTGAGCCAGTGTGTGAAAAGAATAATTATTACATACAATATATAATAGTCACTCACATATATCATGTACAAAAAAATATTAATTAAAAATAATTAACTACTCATTATATTGTTATTCTGAATCTATGACTTCTTTAACGAGGAACGAATTACATTATTTTTCACTGACTCTTAAACGATTACGATTGTGACATTTTCTTCAAATTACTTCAACAAAACTTGTATTTTTTCGTTATATTAAGTTTTGGAAAGTTTGATGACCTAATAGAATGTAAATTTTAATTTTAAAATAAATGTATTGACTACAAATTGCTTCTTTTTTATCCTCTCATTTCAAATCCTCTGTAATAGGCATATCTTGATGAATATTTTGTTAAATAAAAAAAAATAAAAAAAGCGATCTTATTAATCACAAAGTAGTATTTAGTTTTTAGAAATTAAGGAGTCAATGACCCATTAAAAACTTGTTCTTCAGTACGTCCCGAAAACAACTGACTAAGGGTTGAAAACACCAATTTTTTTCCAAAAATTTTGTAGTTTAATATCCTCGAAACTATTTTACCTAGACATATATATTTTTTTACATCATATCATAGACAAATAGTACTCTCCAGGGACCTCGGGAATGTCGCTCGAACTGTTCCACCGAGTAGAACCGACATTTTTCTAATATATTTTTTTTAAACTTAAACATAGAAAGCTCTTCAGAGTATATTTATAATTTGTCAAACAGAACATACCCTTCAAAATAAAACAGCTAAGTCATGAAAATTTTATATATTTCACAAATTCAAAATATGCAGTAATTATTTCCAAAGTCAACCATACAAGTTCATTTATAAAACAACTAAAATGGATGCGCCTAATTTTCTTCATAAAATTAGAACATTTCAAATGGGGTTCAGACATTAATACATTTTCATTTCTTTTTTTTTTATAAAAACGATATCAATTACAATTTCATTGCATCCTAAAGTTTATATTTACCAAGTAGAATTAGAACACAACCATTCCTTATGAGAAACGTAATAATATCTTTATTTAAACAAATTATAACGATTATTAGATCATAAATCTGTCTAATGGACTAGGTACGCAAATTTATATAAGCATTATTATAATCTTATGATTAATAATTGAGCGTCAATATAACACAATGATGACGTTTTAACAAAGTATATATATACATTATATATCGAAACGATAATTTGTCTATTAGAATAACATTATTTTAAATCGCCAGCAATTTAATTATGTTTTATTAAATATTTTAACGCATTAATATAAATAAAATCTTATAAACAAATGTTTGCTATCAATATACTAGTACATATAAAGTGCTTTAATAAATATTTTGATTTTATAAATACATAGAACAATAAATAGTACATACGACAACACTTCAGACTGCTACAAAAAGTATCTGCAATCGATTTTGAGCTTAACCACCAACAGATTAAGGCTTAAAATTTATTGGAGAAAAGGAGTCATTCACAGCCCGTATAAAAAGGCCAAAAATTTTCAACTGTTTATACCCATACTAAAAAAGTTAAGCCGGTCAAGAAATAAAAATTAATTATTTTAACATATTATCCTAAAAAAATGGAAGCGAAGTTTTACGGCCATTCCTAAAGTCGTTATTGACATTTAAATCACAAAAGACCGACTAAGGAAATTAATTCTTAGGACAGAACCTAATTTCATTATGACAGCGTATAAAGACAAGCTCAAAGAAATATTTAGTCCAATGAATCTGCTGTTTGATCTCATAAAAATGTATAAATAAGTGTAAATAATAATAATAAACGCTTTATTGCACTCAAACTAATACAGTTTACAATAGACAATAAACGGCTTTATTGATATTTTAAAATAAAAAAATCTTTTCTAGGCAACTTATGGCGAAAGAAGAAAGTTTAAAGATAATGATAGGGGTTGGATGCCTAATTTTCAGCTTGAAGGTTTCTATTTTTATTTCTTTCGAGTAGGTATATTAATTTAAAAATAGATTCAGTTTATAGATAACTATTAAGCTTTGAAAAAATATTTCTTGTAAAAAGCTGGTCAACCTACCCCATGCTTGGTGTTGGTTGACTATTCGACTGGGTAAGTTGACCTATGAAATTGTAAGGGCAAAAACTATAAGGATATTGGATAAGAGACACAAAAAAAAAGTATTACTTATTTAATTTATCGTATTCAATACATCTTACGCTACTTCAATTAAACACAACAAAAAAAATTTTAAGAAAACAATTACACACTTAAACATTAGGTAACTTGAGTAACTAAAAATAAAACAAAGTACTTTATCTTATCAAGTATTTAAAAGAAAACGAAACAACTCCTTATAAATTTAACCATTTAATAACAAATAATCATACGTATCTATTGTAATATTTGGTAACAGTTTGAGATCATACTATTCAATCAGTCTTCAAAAGCGGAGATGCATTTTTTGCATTCATAGACCATATATGTATATATGTTCTTGTTTACACATTTTGTGTGTGCCCACAACTTGCACGCAGTGCATTGAATCCTTTCTTCTCCTTCAATACTAGAGCTATATGATTTAGTGTACTCCAAATGAAATGCCTCATCGTCACTACTTTCATCTTCGTTCTTTTTATTCTTATTAGCCTCACGAAGAGTTTTTTCCTTTACCCTTTCCGTCTTTTGGAGTTTCTGTAGATATTCCACCTGTTGTCTTTGGCTTCTTTGTTTTCTTTCTTAGTCAGCGTCTGACTAGGACGTTGTTTTGCCTTAAGTTGCATAAGATTTTCTTTTTCCGGTGTATCTGTGTAAATAGTGCTTTTTCATTTTCGGGCACTTTTTTATTATTTCAGGTTCAGCTTTCGGAAAAGTTTGCGATGTGCTTGGCATACATACATACATTGGCTTTCATCAGTTATTAGATCTGCATTGGTTACTAAAAGCGAGAAGTAGAAGGCACCTTGCATAATGCAATTGAAATCGATAGTGTGACAGTTTTCAAAAAAACCCTCTATTAATCTTTCTGTTGTATGTTCGCATGTTCCTGAGACAAAAAAAAATTGGATAAAATTTAAAAAATACAGACTTCATTTTACATGTGAAATATTCATAATATTATGGGGCTGACAACCTGGTCAACCAGTCAGTTATGCATTAGTCTACTAGCCCCGAACCACCTTTTAATTTTTAACCACGTGCCACCTCAACTCGGTGACGAAATAGAATACACAAGAGAAATAACAATCAATTCCTAAGTTACACTTTCTTTTATTTATTTGATTAAAATTAAATTAAATGTAGAATAAAACGTAGTGATGTAAAAGGTCAGTCCCCTCAAGTGTTTTTATTCGAACACTTAACCTTGGTAGGAAATATAAATCATTTATTGTTTGGTTAGAAGTAGAGTTAGAGAAGGTTTAATAGTTTTTTTAACAATTATAATATGGCTATCTATATACCAGAGATGGCTCTCTAGTAAAAGTGGCGCGACGATAAAATAAAAGGGGGGGAGGGGGCGTGGCCAGAATCTGGTCCCGGGCCCGACTTGGAGATGTGGCGGCCCTGGGCCAAGGTGATTTTAGTGCTAGGCCTTAAGAAATGATGCAAGCATCTAAAAGAGCCATACGAA